CTAAACATTATAATAAAAAAAGAAAAAAAGAAAGGATAGCTCTAGAAGTTTGGAGCTCAGATACTAAGTCCATCTAAAATGCACATAAAAAAAAATTTAAAAAATTTAATTTTAAAATACATAAAAACTCTTCCTAAACATTATAATAAAAAAATTAAAAAAGAAAGGATAGCTCTAGAAGTTTGGAGGTCAGATACTAAGTCCATCTAAAATGCACATAAAAAAAAAACAAAAAAAAAGAGAGGAAAAAGCGGCCTTTTCTCTTCCTGTTTCTCTATAAAATTTTGGTTTAAGTACCATTTTGGTCCCTTAACCTGTCACTTTGGTACCAAAATTGTCCCTCACCTTTAAAACGTACCAAAATTATCCTTAAACTTTCATTTTCGATACCAAAATGATCCTTCCGTTAGTTAAATGGACAGGTGGCATGTTAACTTGCCAGCAAATCAATTCTTTTATTCTTAACTAATGACATGGATAAAAAAAAAACATAACTGGACATATTTTTTATGAGTTGGAATTTTTATTTAATTTAAAAATAATAATGTTTTTTTTTCCCATCCACGTCACCACAAAAAAGATCTCTTCTTCCTCTTTCACGTTCTCTCTCTTTTAACTTCCTTTTTCGCTTACCTCTGCAAACCCACCTCTGCAAACCCAGATCTGGGTTTTCTTTCTCAAACTTTATCTTCTTCCTTTACCTGCTCATCCTTCTTCTTTCTTCTTCTCATTTTTTCTCTCTCTCTCTCTCTTCTCCCTTATTCTTCCTCTCTGAAACTTAGATCTGGGTTTGTTTGAAACCTAGATCTAGGTTTGTCTGAAACCCAGATCTGGGTTTCATCACATCAATTAACAATTTGATGAAGTTGGTGATAATAAGAAAAAGCAATACAAATCATTCCATTATATTAATTAAATATAAGCTCCGATTTCAAATGGCGATTTGAGAAAACAGGAACTAGGGTAACCTATTTTCTGAAAGAGAGTAAAAAGGTGCCGATGGTTGCTATATTTAATAGAAGGCCTCAGCTTAGAACAATCCAAGTGAAATTGAAATTTAGAACAATCCTCACAGCAATAAACTAAGACATTAGAGATATGAATCCCACATGCTCTGCAGAAAAACCACTCCTCACTTTCATTGTAAGATTTGATCTTGAGACAATGATTGGGGTGGAATGGGTGATCTTGGATTGTTTGTGGTAATAAATCAATGGCACATGATTGATGTAGGAAAAAATTGCATCTGTGACACAAAATGAGGACTTGGGGACTTTTCTCGACATGCCCAGCAGCGAGCTTCACGGCCATCCTCAATCTCACAAAGCTCCAATGGATGGTGATGGTAGACATGTTGAATCCATTTGGCACCTTCACAATTTGCTGTGGGAAGCAAGGCGCATTCAACATCTAACTCAAATAAACACGCTTGACACTTGTAAGCCAAGTCTGAGCATCATCGGAAAGGGCTTTCTGCGACGAAGAAGAACAAATGAGCTCCGGTACAAGATTCGGAGTTTACGGAGCTCGAAAAGCTTTATGAGTCTAGAA